GTGTCATACAGAAGATCTATAGAAGGGACAGAAAGTTGATTCCATTTATTTATCCTTCCAGCCCCAAGTCCAATCTTTAACAAGCTCATGCAGACTCCACCTCCGCAACATGCAGACTCCACCTCCGCAACATGCAGACTCCACCTCCGCAACATGCAGACTCCACCTCCGCAACATGCAGACTCCACCTCCGCAACATGCAGACTCCACCTCCGCAACATCACCAAAATCCGCACGTTCCTAACCCCAGAAACCACTAAACAGCTCATCCACTCCCTCATCATATCACGACTCAACTACTGCAACTCCCTCCTCACTGGCCTGCCTCGCCGCTGGCTATCCCCGCTTCAGTCCATCCTGAATACGTCTGCCAGACTCATCCACCTTACCAACCGCTCCATCTCCGCCACCCCCCTCTGCCAATCCCTCCACTGGCCTCCACTCAGTGTCCGCCACCCCCCTCTGCCAATCCCTCCACTGGCCTCCACTCAGTGTCCTCCACCCCCCTCTGCCAATCCCTCCACTGGCCTCCACTCAGTGTCCTCCTCCCCCCTCTTCCAATCCCTCCACTGGCCTCCACTCAGTGTCCTCCACCCCCCTCTGCCAATCCCTCCACTGGCTTCTGATTACGCAACGGATCAAATTCAAAATCCTAACACTGACGTACAAAGCCGTCCACCATACTGCCCCGAACTACATCACTGACCTAATATCCAAGTACCACCCAACACGCACACTCCGCTCCTCACAAGACCTCCTTCTCTCTAGTTCACTGGTCTCCTCCTCCCATGCCCGCCTCCAGGACTTCTCCAGGGTGTCACCCATCCTCTGGAACTCCCTGCCTCAACCCATCAGATTATCACCTACTCTCCTCTCCTTTAGGCGCACCCTGAAAACCCATCTCTTCAGGGAAGCCTACCCCACCCCCTGCTAACTTGCCAACCTCCTCCACTCTTCCTACCACTCCATATCCCACAGCTATCTCCTCCTGTGCCACCATCCCCTCCCTCCTAGATTGTAAGCTCCAAAGATCAGGGCCCTCAATCCCCTCATGTTTTGCATTGTATTGGTATTGTTCTGTCACATGTTCTGTCCCCCTTTATAATGTACAGAGCTGAGCGAACTATTGGCGCTTTATAAATACTGTATAATAATATTAACCACATTTTTTGGAAAGCAGTTAAATTTCTCTGGTCACACCCAGGCCTGATTACTGCCAGACCTGTAGAATCAACAAATCGCTTAAATAGAAGTTGTCTGACAAAGTGAAGCACGCTACAAGATCTTAGAAAGTAACGCATCATACCACGATCTAAAGAAATTCAGGAACAGACGAGACACAAAGTAACTGACATGTATCAGTCTGGAAAGGGTTACAAAACCGTTTCTCAGGCTTTGGGACTTCATAAAACCACGGTGAGAGTCATTATCCACAAATGGAGAAAATTTAGAACAGCGGCGATCCTTCTTAGGTCTGGCCGACCTACCAAAATTACTCCAAGAGCACGACGACGACTCATCCAGGGGGGCATAAAAGAACCCAGTCCAAAGACATGCTGGTAGGTTAGTTGGCTCCTGTCTAAATTGTCCCTAGTATGTGTATGTATGAATGTGAGTTAGGGACCTTAGATTGTACGCCCCTTGAGGGTTAGGGACCTTAGATTGTACACCCCTTGAGGGTTAGGACCTTAGATTGTACGCCCCTTGAGGGTTAGGGACCTTAGATTGTACGCTCCTTGAGGGTTAGGGACTGATATGAATGTACAATATTTGTATGTTAAGTGCTGCGTACATTGACGGCGATATAGAAGTACCTGAAATAAATAAAAAGAAATAATAAATAAACCCAGGACAACATCTAAAGAACTGCAGGCCTCACTTGCCTCATTCAACAATGAGACCGGGCAAAAAAATGGCCTCCATGGGAGAGTTCCAAGGCCAAAGCCACTGTTGGCCAAAAAACACAAAGGCTTTTCTCACAATTATATAATAAAAAGTGTGTGACTGTGGGGGGAGGGGACATTAGAGTGTAAGCTCCTCTGTACAGAGACTGATGGGACTGTGGGGGAGGGGACATTAGAGTGTAAGCTCCTCTGTACAGAGACTGATGTGACTGTGGGGGAGGGGACATTATAGTGTAAGCTCCTCTGTACAGAGACTGATGGGATTGTGGGGAAGGCGACATTAGAGCGTAAGCTCCTCTGTACAGAGACTGATGGGATTGTGGGGGAGGGGACATTAGAGCGTAAGCTCCTCTGTACAGAGACTGATGTGACTGTGGGGGGAGGGGGACATTAGAGCATAAGCTCCTCTGGTACAGAGACTGATGTGACTGTGGGGGAGAGGACATTAGAGTGTAAGCTCCTCTGTACAGAGACTGATGTGACTGTGGGGGAGGGGACATTAGAGTGTAAGCTCCTCTGGTATAGAGACTGATGTGACTGCGGGGGGAGGGGGGACATTAGAGTGTAAGCTCCTCTGTACAGAGACTGATGTGACTGTGGGGGAGGGGACATTAGAGTGTAAGCTCCTCTGTACAGAGACTGATGTGACTGGCTCAGTGATCTCTGTACAACGCTGCGGTATATGTCAGAGCTATATAAATAAGGAAAAAGATGACACAGTAGATAAATGATGGTAATTTGTCCCACAAGTGCGATGTTGGAGTTCAGCTCTCGGTTACTGACGCTTCTCACACTCTGTTCTGGGATCTGAGTCTGGTACATAACCTGCAGCCGTTTGATGGTGGTAATCAGTAATTCGAGGGAAATCCTTGTCTTCTGGCTTCCAGGAACAGTATTGGATTTCCTCATCTTTGGGGTTACAGACTGATTACCCCACACTGAGACCTGGAGTGACCCTGACCCGGGGGTAATCGCTGCTCTCAGGATGATATTGATGGAGGTCACACAGTTCACAATGTAGCTCAGTACAATCATGGCGGTTAAATAAAGTTGCCTTTTTTTTAACTTTGGCGCAGCTGCTGTGATTGCTGGTTGGTACAAGCAGTCCTCTGACTTCACGTGTTGCTAGCATAGCTCTTGAAAAAGGGTAACTCCACTTTCTTGGACAAAAAATACAGCCAAAAAAACATATGCAATGGCTACAAGCCATGTTGTAATTTTCTTTTTAACAGATACATAATTTAATTGGATTATAATTGATCTTTCCTTTTCTATCTGCAGACGCTGTAATTTCCTGTAATTTCCAATGCAATATGACAACCTGGAGGAGTTCTTTACACCTCTGATGTACAGAGCTGATGTAATTTCCTGTAATATTCAATATGGCAACTTGGAGGAGTTCTTTACATCAGCTCTGTACATCAGTGGTGTAAAGAACTCCTCCAGGTTGCCATATTGAATATTACAGGAAATTACATCAGCTCTGTACATCAGTGGTGTAAAGAACTCCTCCAGGTTGCCATATTGCATTGAATATTACAGGAAATTACAGCAGCTCTGTACATCAGTGGTGTAAAGAACTCCTCCAGGTTGCCATATTGCATTGAATATTACAGGAAATTACAGCAGCTCTGTACATCAGAGGTGTAAAGAACTCCTCCAGGTTGCCATATTGCATTGAATATTACAGGAAATTACAGCAGCTCTGTACATCAGTGGTGTAAAGAACTCCTCCAGGTTGCCATATTGCATTGAATATTACAGGAAATTACATCAGCTCTGTACATCAGTGGTGTAATTTCCTGTAATATTCAATGCAATATGGCAACCTGGAGGAGTTCTTTGCACCTCTGATGTACAGAGCTGCTGTAATTTCCTGTAATATTCAATGCAATCTGACAACCTAAAGGAGTTCTTTACACCTCTGATGTACAGATCTGCTGTAATTTCCTGTAATATTCAATATGACAACCTGGAGGAGTTCTTTACACCTCTGATGTACAGAGCTGCTGTAATTTCCTGTAAAAATCAATGCAATATGGCAACCTGGAGGAGTTCTTTACACCTCTGATGTACAGAGCTTCTCCAGATTTGTCATTTCCTGCTTGTGTGATTGGCTCACTGATTTTCCCAGGAGTCTGAACTAAAAAGTCAGATTTTAGGCATCCCCTGCAATAGGAATTTCAGTTTTTGTGAGATACTACCCAAGTGTTACACCGTTCTAACAGGGATACAGATACTGCAACTTTCTCATTAGAACACAGAGAGCACCAGGTGATTATAATGAACCAGACCCTCCCGTTCAGAATCCGTCTGCACAGGACACAGTGACACAAACGAGCAACAAAAAGGTAGGAATCTGCTATAAAGATTGTCAAAATCCCTGCAATGTACACTGGATTGCCCAGAGGGAATTGGTATTTTCTGAACAAAAGTGGAGTTAGTCTTGAAGGACCCATTACCACCAATATGTTGCAATGTACATAAAACATGCGGCACGATGCCATTTATTTTGAATGGCACTATAACGCACTAAGGCAATGCATGTGTGTACTGAAAGGTGTGGTAGTGCATTGTGCTACATTTTGTTTCCAAAAAAAAAAAAAAAGGGGGGGGGGGGGCACCTTCTATTTTCAGCAACATGTGGGGGCATTGGCAGCCCACTCATTTCAATAGGCTGCCTATAACCTCCAGGGTGATAGCCTCAATCAGGGAACTTTTTGGCCCAAAGGGTCTTTAGTAGCCTGCCCTAGTCTAGGGTTGCCACCTCATCCCTTTAAAACCGAATGCATATTAAGTATACAGGTTCTGGGGCTAATTTAATGCAGATAAAGCACTAGATGAATTTAATTGCCACCTTAATCAGCCCCAGAACCTGTGTAATTAATATGTGTTTGGTTTTAAAGGGATGAGGAGGTAACTCTACCCTAGTCCTTGCTTCCATAAGGATCAGGAAGTCCACAGCTGGCTCTCTTGGGTACAGGTCTACCTCTCCTTGGCCTCCACTTTCTGGGTACATATGCATAGACGTTGGGTGTTTGGCTCACATGTCCCAACTGCACTAGGGCTCCCCCCAACCTGGCTTATATCTGGTATGGCAGTGCGGTATCCTGCCACGGTGAAAATCGAGGTTTTATAACCCAGGATTCTCAACTATACAGGTTGAGGGGCTCCAGGCAGTTCTCTAAATGCAGACTGGTTTGTCCGTTTCCTCTTTGGTTTGTAAAGTTCGTTTTGGGACCTGTGGCCTGGAGATTTCTAAGTGATTTGGAAGGGATGAAATCTCCAATCCTGGGACCATGTTTTGTGAGCATCCAGCACATGATTACACAGGTGTGTGCAGGCCTTTTTGTAGAGGCCTAACCAGGGTTCTGGGCTCCACCACGGCAGACAGGAGGTCATTGCCCAGGAGTCAGGAGGGCTCCACCTAGGAAAGGTGGGAGCTAGAGAGCAGGATTTTATGTATACCTGAGAGAGCCAAGAGGCTGAATACTTGTTTAATTCGTTTTGATGGTGCAACTCATGGGGCCCCTGGGCAATAGGGGATCATGGGACCCATGTCCTTGCCCACACTCAAAAAAAGCCTATAAAAAAAAAAAAAGGTACCAGGGGCATTTCATGGGGCCCCCTACTGACCCCGGGCCCTCGGGCAGTGCCCCAGTGCTCATATGGTCATTCCACGCCTGTGATGGTGGATACTCCTGCGTAGGAAACATGTTATGGAACTTTCCTTTAAATAAAATTGGGCTAAAAAGCCCTTAAAAAAAGAAGGAAGCAGCTGTGTGCTGTAAAGCTCTACATTTGCTGCTAGTTCTCACACTGGGCACTGACTCCCCCATGAGATCACTACAGGACGGCTCTAAATAAAAGGGGCCTAGCACCCGATGACATTGTTTTCTGTAATCAGACACTATTCTAAAACAAAGCCACGAATTCTCACCTCTTTTAGTAAATCAGCCCACGCCCCTACCTTCCATTGCGCGAATGCAGTTGTTATCTATTAAAAAAATCTTTACAATTCCACGCTATGGTATATATAATTATTTAAAATAAAAAGATGAAAGAATAAATATTTCAATCCACATGAGCAGCCACCATATTACTGCAGGTAACAATACACATAAAATATTAGAAGTGCGGCGCTTCAAAAAAATTTAAGCTTAGAAGTCCAATCACAAAAATTAAGATATATAGAATAAGTCCCTCTTCACTGGAATCTCAGTGCTGCTATAGATGTCTCAAAACGGTCAGGAGAAGATAGAAAAGGGTCCACCATTACCATCACCACGGTCAGCAGAAGATAGAAAAAGGTCCACCATTACCATCACCACGGTCAGGAGAAGATAGAAAAAGGTCCACCATTACCATCACCACGGTCAGGAGAAGAAAGAAAAAGGTCCACCATTACCATCACCCAAGGTCAGGAGAAGATAGAAAAAGGTCCACCATTACCATCACCACGGTCAGGAGAAGAAAGAAAAAGGTCCACCATTACCATCACCACAGTCAGGAGAAGATAGAAAAAGGTCCACCATTACCATCACCACGGTCAGGAGAAGAAAGAAAAAGGTCCACCATTACCATCACCACGGTCAGGAGAAGATAGAAAAAGGTCCACCATTACCATCACCACGGTCAGGAGAAGATAGAAAAAAGTTCCACCATTACCATCACCACAGTCAGCAGAAGATAGAAAAAGGTCCACCATTACCATCACCATCACCACGGTCAGGAGAAGATAGAAAAAGGTCCACCATTACCATCACCACGGTCAGGAGAAGATAGAAAAAAGTCCACCATTACCATCACAAAACACTCTGCCTCTTACCAGATCATGTTGACCCCCAGTTATGGATGGGTCAAAAATAAGTAATGCCCCCCGCCTTTTTCAATCGCCTGGCCTCCATGCCAGCGGTGTTCATATGACTGTGTACTTCTAATCATTGAAAATGTGACTTTTAGTACCTACTCACATTATGGCGCTGCAGTTGGTGCTTTGTGGTGCCATTCATTCAAACCTGCACTTTGCCGACACATGTGATACAGCACAATGCATAGCAGTAAAGGTTGGTGCAGTGTGCTGACAAAAAAGGATGCAAGCCCCATTTTTTGGCAGTGCACCGCAATGCAAATTAGTCCATTGACAAGGCACGTTGGGTGCCATTCAGAATGAATGGCACCACATTGCACTGATGCATGTTGTGCGTGCTGAGATAAGCGCGCATTACCACGCACGTTAACGTGACACACAGCGCTGGTGTGACGGAGCCCTCGTTCTGCCCTTGGCCAGTAAAGTTTGCAGTCAGCCAGCAATCCCTTCTGCTAAAGGCCAGAGGACACACCAAACTGAGGACAGACGTCGGCAATAGATAATTAATAATAGAAGTGCGGCGCTTCAAAAAAATTTGAACTTAGAGGTCCAATCCACAAAAATGAAGATATATAGAATAAGCCCCTCTTCACTGGTATCTCAGTGCTGCTATAGATGTCCCAAAACGGCCAGAAGAAGATAGAAAAAAGTCCACCATCACCAAACACTCTGCCTCTTACCAGATCATGTTGACCCCCAGTTATGGATGGGTCAGAAAGTGCTGTATAAATGCCAAAAGACCTCTTACCAGATCATGTTGACCCCCAGTTATGGATGGGTCAGAAAGTGCTGTATAAAGCCCTAGACCTGGACACTCTTTGGTTCCAAATGTTCACATCAGAAGGTGGGCTAGAAGGTGAACCTACAAAGCAATTATTCTCAGAGGACAACCTTGTTTTAAACTTTTTTTTTCTTTCATCTGCAAACAGGAACCACAAACATCCAGCATGTGTGAGTAGAGAACACCACCATGTTCAGGGTTTGACTCACACATGCTGGATGTTTATGTGGTCACTGTTTGCAGATGAAAGAAAAAAAATGCCCATGAAGGCTCCTGGGATGTAGAACATATTTTTGGCCTAGGCCAGACACCGGAAGCAAGTGAAGAAATATTTTTTAAAAAAGTTTAAAACAAGGTTGTCCTCTATGAGGATACTTCCTTTGTAGGTTCACCTTCTAGCCCACCTTCTGATGTGAACGTTTGGAATCAAAGACTGTCCAGGTCTACGGCTTGCCTTTTGGAATTTATACAGCACTTTCTGACCCATCCATAACTGGGGGACAACATGACCTGGTAAGAGGCAGAGTGTTTGGTGATGGTGGACTTTTTTCTATCTTCTCCTGGCCGTTTTGAGACATCTACAGCAGCACTGAGATACCATGAAGAGGGGCTTATTCTATATATCTTCATTTTTGTGGATTGGACTTCTAAGTTTAAGTTTTTTTGAAGCGCCGCACTTCTGTCTATTATTAATTGCTTTCTATTGCCGACGTCTGTCCTCAGTTTGGTGTGTCCTCTGGCCTTTAGCAGAAGAGATTGCTGGCTGACTGCAAACTGTACTGACCAAGGGCAGAACGAGGGCTCCGTCACACCAGCGCTGTGCGTCGTGTTAACGTGCGTGGTAATGAACGCTTACCTCAACACGCACAACATGCATCAGTGCAATGTGGTGTCATTCATTCTGATTGACACCCAACATGCCTTTTCAATGGACTAATGTGCGATGCACTGCCAAAAAATGGGGCTTGCACCCTTTTTGTCAGCGCATCGCACCAACCTTTACTGCTTTGCATTGTGCCGTATCACGTGTCGGAAAAGTGCAGATTTGAATGAATGGCACCACAAAGCACCGAATGCAGCACCATAATGTGAATAGGCACTAAAAATTCAATGATCAGAAGTACATAGTGTGACAGTGTGGCGATCTGTCACCCTGGATTCTCAACAAGGCAGGTTGAGGGGCTCCAGGGTAAAGGTTTGATATGGAGGAAAGTGGCTTTTCACTTTCCTCCTTTGTTTGTAAGGTCTGTTTTGGGATCTGGAGCCTGGAGATTTCAAAGAGATCTGGGAGGGATGAAATCTCCAATCCTGGGACCAGGTTTTGGGATAGGCCAGGAGACTGATTGCACAGGTGTGTGCAGGCCTTTAGAGAGAGTCAGGACCAGGGTTCTGGGCTCCACCCTGGCAAACGGAGTCAGGAGGGCTCCACCCCGGCAGACGGGAGGTCTCTGCCTTGGAGTCAGGTGGAAGCCAGACTAGCTGTGTGCTGGTGCCATATTTTGGGAAGAGTCTGCAGGAGGCAGACTTAAAACTGCGTGCAAGCCAGGAGGCTGAATACTATTAATTTGCTTGATGATGGATACCCCTGCGTGGGAAGCATTCTTGTTTATTTGAACTTTCTTGTAAATAAAATTGGGCAAAAAGGCCCTTAAACAGATGCGAGTTGCTGTGTGTTTTGAAGAAGAGCTCTACCACTTGAAGCGAGTTCCCACAATAGTCATATGTACACTGCTGGCATAGATGCCAGGTGATTTAAAAAGGGGGGGGGGCATTACTCATTTTTCATAAACAGTGAACATGTCCTTTTAAGACTACATGGACCTCAAATGGGAAAAAAAATATCTTTCTATATTAAACAGGGGACCCCTGGCTTCACAGGACACAGTCCATCTACCTCCTAGAGGAGGACGGCCATTAGAGAAAGATGGAGGCTTCCTTCAAAGCCTTTTTTTTGGGTTCGGAAGCTGCTTTATACTCATTTACATCCGCCATCTGTGTCCCTCGCCGGTGTCACTCCTGCAACGACAACTTGCGGTCCAAAGCTACAGTCTACGGCTGTGCCAGTTGGTCGCCTCTTCATGATGTCATCACGCTGTGTATTCTTCTGGGGCTTGAGAAGACCCCACTGCTGGACAAAGAAGTGTCCACATCACCCAAAGAGGTGATGAAGAAAGAAGACTTGGGACCCGGGGCAAAATGGGACTATGGTATTATTAAGAAAGGACTTCTAGATAAGGATTAGAATGAGGGGGAGGGGAGGCAAAATTAATCAGCATGTTTGCATGGTAACAGTGTGCATGGGGGACTGTGAAGAGATAATAGAAAGACGCATTTTGGGTTATTATATTATTAGTATTTATAAAAGCACGGAATAATTTGTCAGTTACCACATGATTGCGCTAAAGGGCATTGTTTTATGAAGTTCTACCTTCAACACAACCATTACTTGCTAAGCTTCCTTGTTGCGTCGCTTTATATTCCACTCGCCGAGTGCGGCCAGCATAACGATGCTGATTATCTGAGGATTAAAAATGTCTAAACCTTCTCCGCAACGTCACGCCCCGACAGACCGCCAATTGTAATTACCACAAAACCCAGTCCAACAGGCAGTCCAAAGAACTGTCATCCACAGCAAGACGACATTGGCTTCCATCAAACACAAATCTCCTCCAGGGGGATCATTCTATCCAGGATCTGGGCGAGGAGGTTAGGAGATAGGAGCGCAGGTTATGACATTTTATATCCATCATACACAGTCTGAACGATGGAAGACCACAGATGACAGTTGGAGGCACCCGTGGGTTTTAAGCAAACCCAATGGTAGATAATTACAGCATGCCTTTTGCTGACTTCTGTCAGGATCCAAAAAAATAAATAAATTAAAAAGTCAGGAAAAAGTCAAGAAAAAAAAAAGATAGATGGGAAAAGGACAGGGAAAGGGGTAGACTTGGTAAAAAAGCAGGGAGAGATAGAAAACAGGAAGAGGGGTGAAGTGCAGGATGGCGGAAGAGATCGGCGAAGGGCGGGATGGGGGAAGAGATGAGGGGAAGGGCAGGAGGAGGGAGAGATGAGGGGAAGGGCAGGAGGAGGGAAGAGATGAGGGGAAGGGCAGGAGGAGGGAAGAGATGAGGGGAAGGGCAGGAGGAGGGAAGAGATGAGGGGAAGGGCAGGAGGAGGGAAGAGATGAGGGGAAGGGCAGGAGGAGGGAAGAGATGAGGGGAAGGGCAGGAGGAGGGAAGAGATGAGGGGAAGGGCAGGAGGAGGGAAGAGATGAGGGAAGGGCAGGAGGAAGGAAGAGATGAGGGAAGGGCAGGAGGAGGGAAGAGATGAGGGGAGAGGCAGGAGGAGGGAAGAGATGAGGGGAAGGGCAGGAGGAGGGAAGAGATGAGGGGAAGGGCAGGAGGAGGGAAGGGATGGGGGAAGGGAAGGAGGAGGGAAGAGATGGGGGAAAGGAAGGAGGAGGGAAGAGATGAGGGGAAGGGCGGAGGAGGGAAGAGATGGGGGAAGGGAAGGAGGAGGGAAGAGATGGGGGGAAGGGCAGGAAAAGGGAAAGGATGGGAGGACAGGATGGGGGAAGAGATTGAGAAGGGCAGGAGGAGGGAAGAGATGGGGAGGAAGGAAGAGATGGGGGAAGAAATTGGAGAAGAAGGACAGGAGGAGGGAAGAGATGGGGGGAAGGGCAGGAGGGGGGAAGAGATGGGGGGAAGGGCAGGAGGGGGGAAGAGATGAGGAGGGAAGAGATGGGGGGGAAGGGCAGGAGGAGAAAAGAGATGGGGGGGAAGGGCAGGAGGAGAAAATATATGGGGGGGAAGGGCAGGAGGAGAAAATATATGGGGGGGAAGGGCAGGAGGAGAAAATATATGGGGGGGAAGGGCAGGAGGAGGGAAGATATGGGGGGGGAAGGGCAGGAGGAGGGAAGAGATGGGGGGAAGGGCGGAAGAGATCAGCGAAGGGCAGGATGGGGGAAGAGATGGGTGAAGGGCGGGATGGGGGAAGAGATGGGAGAAGGGCAGGTTGGGGGAAGAGATGGGAGAAGGGCAGGAGGAGGGAAGAGATGGGAGAAGGGCAGGAGATGGGGGGAAGGGTAGGAAAAGGGAAAGGATGGGAGAAGGGCAGGATGGGGGAAGAGATTGAGAAGGGCAGGAGGAGGGAAGAGATGGGGGGGGGGGATGGAGGAGGGAAGAGATGGGAGAAGGACAGGAGGGGGGAAGAGATGAGGAGGAAAGAAATGGGGGGGGAAGGGCAGGAGAAGGGAAGATATGGGGGGAAGGGCAGGAGGAGGGAAGATATGGGGGGGAAGGGCAGGAGGAGGAAAAGATGAGGGGGAAGGGCAGGAGGAGGGAAAAGATGGGGGGGGAAGGGCAGGAGGAGAGAAGAGATGGAGGAAGGGCAGCAAAAGGAAAAAGATGGGAGAAGGGCAGGATAAGGGAAGAGATGAGGGGAAGGGCAGGAGGAGGGAAGAGATGAGGGGAATGGCAGCAGAAGAGAAGAGGGTAGGGAGGGGAAGGATATCAGGGAAGGTTGGGAAGAGAAAAGAGATGGGAGAAGGGCAGTGAGGAGACAGAAGAGGGCAGGGAGAAGGGCAGAGTAAGGGCAAGAGATAGGAAAGTACGGGGGGGGGGGGGGGGGAGGGGGGGTTAGAGACAGGAAATGGACAAGAAGAGGGAGTAGATAGGAAAAGAGGGGGATGTGTGAAAAAAATGCAGGGAGAGAGGAGATAGAAAAGAGCAGAGAGATGACGAGAGATAGGAAAAGGACAGGAAGAGGGGTAGAGCTGGCAAAAAAGCAGAGAGACAGGGAACAGTTAGGAAGAGGGGCGAGATGGGAAAAGGGCAGGAAGTGGGAAGAGACGGGAAAATGGAACGGAGAGATGGGTAACATGCAGGGAGAGGGAGGAGAGTGGAAAAAAGCAGGAAGAGAAAGAAACACAGAAAAGGGCAAAAGAGAGCAGGAGAAGAGGAAAGAGGGGGAAGGGAGGAAGAGGGAAGATGGGGGAAGGACAGGAAGAGGCAGTGACACATGACACAGGTAAAAGATCAGAAAAGGGCAAGGGGGAAAAGATAGTTTTAAAAAGGGTCAGATAGAAGGGAGAGTCAGAAGGTGAGGAGACAGTGAGAGACATCAAAACAACAGGAAATAGTGACAGAAGGGAAAAGGGAAGGAGGGACAGGAAAAGGACATGGAGAAGAGAGGAGGAGGGAGAGGGGCAGGGAGAAGAGAGGGGCGGGAGAGGGGCAGGGAGAAGAGAGAGGCGGGAGAGGGGGGAGAGGGAGAAGAGAGAGGCGGGAGAGGGGCAGGGAGAAGAGAGAGGCGGGCGAGGGGCAGGGAGAAGAGAGAGAGCGGGCGAGGGGCAGGGAGAAGAGAGAGGCGGGAGAGGGGCAGGGAGAAGAGAGAGGCGGGAGAGGGGCAGGGAGAAGAGAGAGGCGGGCGAGGGGCAGGGAGAAGAGAGAGGCGGGAGAGGGCAGGGAGAAGAGAGAGGCGGGCGAGGGGCAGGGAGGAGAGAGGCGGGAGAGGGGCAGGGAGAAGAGAGAGAGGCGGGAGAGGGGCAGGGAGAAGAGAGAGGCGGGAGAGGGGCAGGGAGAAGAGAGAGAGGGGGAGAGGGGCAGGGAGAAGAGAGAGGGGGAGAGGGGCAGGGAGAAGAGAGAGAGGCGGGAGAGGGGCAGGGAGAAGAGAGAGGCGGGAGAGGGGCAGGGAGAAGAGAGAGAGGCGGGAGAGGGGCAGGGAGAAGAGAGAGGCGGGAGAGGGGCAGGGAGAAGAGAGAGGCGGGAGAGGGGGGCAGGGAGAAGAGAGAGGCGGGAGAGGGGCAGGGAGAAGAGAGAGGCGGGAGAGGGGGCAGGGAGAAGAGAGAGGCGGGAGAGGGGCAGGGAGAAGAGAGAGGCGGGAGAGGGGCAGGGAGAAGAGAGAGGCGGGCGAGGGGCAGGGAGAAGAGAGAGGCGGGAGAGGGGGCAGGGAGAAGAGAGAGGCGGGAGAGGGGCAGGGAGAAGAGAGAGGCGGGAGAGGTAGGTATTGATAGGATTGTACAGTCCTGTCGGGCGATAAGACAGGTAAAAAAAAAAAATATACAACATATCAGAGACTGGAGAAACAAAATATGTAAAACAGATCAAGAACACTGGGCATGACCTCAAACTAGCAGGAAGAAAGTTCTAGAGAAATGCTAAAAAGTTTTATTTTACTTAAAGAGAACTTGAAGCCTGGAACAGACTTCCAGCAGAGGTCGTGAGTCCATTAGGCCCCATTCACACCTGAGCGAAGCTTTTTTTTGCACAATGTTTTGGAGTGGCACCAATCATTTTGAATGGGCCTCCCTTATGCCAGGTTTTGGCACTGTGCCAGATGCGTTTGGGGTTGCGTTTTTGCCATGAATTTCATACATTTTGTCATACGTCAATGGTGGCAAAATCACTCCGTGTTTGGGGTGCCATTAAGAAATAATGGTACCAC